GAGCACAGTCAGCATGAATGGTATGAAGGAAACTATTGCCAAAGACCCAAGAAAGCAACTTTGCAGATGTGAGGGGAGCTGGCCTCAGAAACAATGATATTGGCACAATCCTTCTCAAAAACTCAAACGTGTGGGCGTGTGAATTTGCACAAGGCAAACCTGCAGAGCCCAGCTAGTGTGCATTCATTTCAGTCCTAGCCTCCTGTGTGCTGCCCACACATTGGGTCTCTGAAGGAGTCCTCAGCCTTTGCCTTCTCCTGGCATCATAGAAGTTCCTGATTATTGACCGGTTGTGTGAGGAGTGGGTACTCCTGACTGGAAAGCTGCCACTGGCCGGGGCAGACAAGGAAACAGGAATGCTCTTAATGTCCTCCCAAAGCAAACCTTTGATGGACAAAAGAATGGTTGTATTTTTACTCTCTCTCTCTCTCTTCATGCTGCCAGGCATCTTTAAATAGATCCTCTAGCCTAGGGACTTGTATGGAATAATTCATATCAAAACCCAAGAAGTGGCAGTGAAAGGGAGGTGGTTTATTCTCTCTCTATCTCTAATCTCTCTCTCTCTCTCTCTCTCTCTCTCTCTCTCTCCTTGTCAAGATTACAGGAAAAGTCTCATTTTAATCCAACTATCTTACATTTTTCCTTTTGGGTCTTTTAATGAACTTTAGCTAATTTGGAAAAGACACTCAAAGCCCCCAGGAAAAGAAAAGGAATAGGAAACTGCCTTGTAGATTGTTCTTTAATACCTTTTGCTCCCAGGAACATTAGCAGCATCTTTTCAGGATGCTGCCCAATGCGGGTCTTTTATGAACTTTTCTAATTGAAAAGTTCAATACTTTCTCTTTGAAACTGGTGAACCAAATTGCTGTTCTTAGCTAAAGAGAAATGAAAGAAAGGAAGGGAGGGAGGGATCAAAGGAGGGAGGGAAGAAGGGGAGAAAGATGAGAGGGAGGGACGGAGGGACGGAAAAGACAGCTCCAAGCCCCATATATTTTCAGTGCACTCAACCCAGGAGGGATTTCTCAGTTCTTCCTTTCATGAAACAGTTCCACAAAGACATTCAGGTCTAGGCTGGCCAAATTAGAAGCCCTGCCTCCTCTTTCTGTTTGGGTAGGAGAGACATGGTGAGGATACAGAACGGGGCCAGGGCAAGGCCCAGAGATCCAGAGATCTTTGTTCCAAGTCACTTGTTTCTCCCCTTGAAACAGAATAACCACATTTCTCTTAATGTGGGCCGAAGTGCATCCAGGCATTCCCATAGCGCCCCCACCCCCAGGCCTTTGCTGGAGATGTCCGGGTCACTGTGATGGTATGCTTGTCCCTGCCAGCCCTGCTCTCCACGAGCCACGTGGCTGCTCCTCTCTGTGAGTGGGTTCAGGCTCAGGGCTACAAAAAGCCCCCATATCCTATCAGCAGGGCAGAACTGGTGCCAAGAATGACATCCTGGGAATACTATGGAGATGAGGAGACCTCATGGGCTGTTCTCCCCGGATGGAACAGGACCCAGGCTGTCTGGAAAACAGACAGAGCAAAGATCAGCTCACAATGGAAGGAGCTCAGGGGAAGGGAAAAGGGGCTGAACTGGGAACAGTAGTGAGGGAAAAAAAAAAAAAAAAAAAGAACAAAAAATGAAAAGCCACATGCCGCCCAGGAAGATTCCAGGGAGCGCAGGAGGAGGTGGCAGGAATCAAGTACCCAGACATGGCACTGCCAGCCTAGCTGGATTCTTTTCTGTATTAGATTATGGGAAAGAAAGAGGGGAAATATATAGCCAGCCAGCTGTTCAATGGCTTACAACCTTGCTTTTATTGTCTGGGTAAGTTGGTGAGGTGGGGCATCAGAAGAATTCCAAACATACCACCCCAGAGAAATTTTAATATGTTCCACAGTGTCGTACACGAAGAGGAAATGACAGCTGATCACAGCCAGGACAGGCCACAGCCACTCGCACCCTGGAGCTCACCCACCCTGCCAAGGCCCTGCTTCCCCTCTCACTGTTCAGTCCTCACAGTTAGTCCTTCCACCTGCCTCCCCATCCTCACTGCTCCTGCTGGCCTGACAGGATAAAGTGGCATTAACTGACAGTCATGGAAAAAGGTGAGCATGAGCAGAAAAGCCAGGGCCAAGAAGTTGAGGGCTGCCGGCAGGCACCCTAGAGAGTTAGGCATTTTAATTCTACCAGGAGGATTTTCTGCTGATAAGCAGCAAATCAAGGTCCCTGTTGATGCTGTCTTCAGTGGTTTTCCCCAGCAACCTAAACGTGTAACCAAAGGCCTGGATGGATTATTTGAAAGCAACACTGTGTGTGGTTGAGACAGAGACCTGGGTTTAGGGACCAACATCCGGCCACTTATCCCAGGGCCAATTTAGGCCAAGCCCAGAGGTCATTGGTTTCCTCAGTGTACGGAATGGGACAAGTAAGTGGTGGGAGACAGTGACTACATCTTCCTCTGTGCATGTTTCTAATTCAATGATTCATCAAATGGCCCTGATGTCAGCTGCTGAGGAGGTGACTCACACCCATCCCCTGATAGAGACGGCACGTGGTCCCTCCCAGAGCATGCTCAAGAAAACGGAAGAAGGATAGTTGCTCTTTTCCCAGACTGCTTCTACCCTATGCAACAAGATCCAGGCCATATTAGCTGTGTAAGTGAGATACACCCAGGGTCTGGTGTAAAAGGCTGAAGAGGAGAGCCCTTGATTCTAAATAGAGAGGAAAAAATCCATTTATAAGTGAGAAGCATTTCAAGTAAATCTAGAACACCAGCAGCTACTTTAAATCGTTCTTAATAAGCAGAAAGTTCTTGCCCAGTTACCCATTGGCAAAGCCCATTTCACTTCCTAAATCCAACTGGAGAAAGAATACGAACTGAAAATAAAGGTGTGGGACAATGTCCCAGTCACCTTTGTATCCATTAGGACAAGCATAGTGCCAGGCACACTGCAAATGCATAATAAATATTTATTAAAAGAATGTTGGAATGAATTATTAATCAGGAAGAATAACAGTATTGGAATTGTGAATTCTTGAAACAGTAAAAATCTCTAGGCACCATTGGTGGCTATAATTCTGAAAAAGTCACATTTTTCAAGGGCCCAGGAAAATAAATGAGTTGGAGATTGTTAAATGTATTGAAAAATGATTTATTTTTCCCCTGACAGTGTCATTGGAACTCAAATTAAGATTGAAAACTCTGCAGGCATGTTTCCATCTGTGGGTGTCAGCTGCTTATGCACAGTCATAATAAGAAGGCCTCAGCCAGTTCCTACACTACCTGCACTAAATGTATTTTAAAAGAAATGATGCAATATATTGCATCTTTTGTGTTCATTCTCATGTAATGGCCTGAATAATAGTTTAAGAAAATTGCTTTGAGTCATCTAAATGTTTTCCTGAAACTTATAGTTTAAAAAAAAAACATCATAGAGTATTACAATACAATTCATAGTAGTTTTTGCAGTTTTTCCTGATTAGTGAATCAGTTGCAAATTAGCTCCTTCAAATGTCTGATTTTTATTCAACTATGCTCCTTAGGCTAGTTATTTATGAAAATCAGAAAACTTCCCCATAAATCATATCCCCGCTCCACAAAGAACGCTGGGCAATAGAATCCTAAATTTCACTTCCAGAAGGAGGATTCGTGAGAAGAAGATGAGCAGATACTTGCACAAAATCTAAATGCTCATTCGAGAAGCAGTTCTGCTGTTCAGGCTGTATTGGGTTGACACCCACCCTCAACACTGTCTTTGACATCTCTGTGCTTCCGCATGCACCTGGTATAGCTAATGTGTTGAAGCAATTTGCCATGCCACTCCTTTTAATTAAAATACACTAATATTAGAACTGGAAAGAAGCAAGCTCTGCAGCAGCCATATCTTCTGCTAGCAATGACAGTTACAAAGTACACGGGGTTCCCATCTTGCCAAATAGATTGCTTTACTGCACCTGAATTTCAGTGTGTGTGTGGGGGGGTGCTCCTTTTTCATGGAGGCTTATCTGGGCTTGTCCATTACAATGAGCCTCAGTTACTGCGCTTTCTGAGTCATTAACATTCCGTACACAATCAAACTTCCCGTCCCTCAAAAAACAGTTATGCCCAGGCCTCCTACAGCTCATTTGTTCAATTGCTTTCAGGAATTGGAAAGAACCCTCTGAATATTCCTCAGGTGTCTGTAGGAGTCTTTTCTCCAGATCCTGGTCCTTGTGCCGTTGGGAGCATCCTTTCCCTGTTACTTCTTGGATATTGGAGCATTGGTCGTGCTGTAGGGACAAGCCGACTACTAAAAATAATCCCTTGCAATAAAGCCAAGGCAAACAGCATGCATTTCCTCGGACCTTTTGCCCAATCAAAATCATACAGCAAACCCATCCTCATCACTCCCGGATGCTGCCGAATGCATCTATGGAAGCGAAGTTCCAGTGCGCGAGAGAAGAGTGCAAAGGATCAGCATGACACAGAAAGCTAGGCATAAATGTTGCCTATTGTTTGAAGTCTTTCTGAGCACTCCGGCACAGCCCTGGCAGGAGATCAGCCTCATACATAAGTAGTAATAAAAGTAAACAGTGCACGATTAACCTCACAGGCTCGCCTGTGTTAATAGTGCCCCCATTGTAAGTGGGATGAAGGCGGTGGGGAAGATATGGGGCTTCACGAATCCAACTCCGCAACTACTGCGTCTCTGTCCCCTTTCATAGGGTCAGATATAAGAACCATTCCAAAGTTACAGCTAACTACGCAGAGAGTTTGAAAAGAAAATAGAAATCAACCCCAAAGATATTTTCGAGCTTCTCTGGGACGCTCCCTGCTCTGTCACAGACTTCAAAGACCCGTTCATTTAAAAAACACAAGGCTAGCATGCTACAGATTAATGCAAATTAAAGTAATGCAAATTTAAGTGGTATTTAAAGGTTGTCTCTTTGTCTGCAAGGAGGATGAAAGGCTCAGTTTGGAAAGAAGTAATTTCCTAGGCAAGCCGTCAGCGCTTGTTTTCCTGCTTACCTTGGGGGAAACGCAGGGCTCCTTTCTTCTCAGACTTTTCTGAGAGCTAGAAAGAGGTCCTGTTACTTCCAAATGCTTTTGTTCTTCTGTCCCTCTGTCACATGGCTTGCCTTTTATATTTGCAACACACAAAAGTTAGGACTGTTGTTTAAGCGACACAGGGAGAGAGAGGGAGAGAGAGAGGCAGAGAGAGGGAGAGAGAGAGAGAGGGAGAATGTCAAATGGAAAAGTGCCATTGCAGGCATATATCAATCAGGCGTATGGCCGCAGCAGCACAGGAGCAAACGGGAACGCCACGGAAATGCGAGGCGCTGGTTATAGGGGACTCGCAGCCTCTGCCCACTGCTCGGCTCCCTTCCACTGAGCATCTTACGATGGGAACAACGGACTAGAACACGGAAGTCCCCCCCCCAATACATTCTTTTTTGTGTGTGTTCTGACAATAAATAATAAGAGACTAAATGAATATTCTTGAGTTTAATTCTTTTGCAAGTATGTGGCTGCCATAAAGATGTGCAGTTGGCAGTAGAGACACATGGTTTGGGAAATACAAAGACACGGTGGCATTCTGTTAACGATTCAGCAGCTGACTGGGATGAAGTTGAAATGCTAAGCAAGAGGGGAAAGATGGACATCAGTAATCTTCCTCAGGCTATGCTGGCAAGCAAGTGCAAAACGCTGCCCTATTTTATCACGATGTGCGTGGGTAGTGAGAGTTCTTTTTTTCCAAGTTGTTCATCCATTAAATGATTTTTAGCAGCGTATACACGATTAAACCCACAGTGGCACTTTAATAAGCGCCTTCACCAGCATCAATTAGCAGGGAAACCCTGTCTCAAAAAAGAAAAAAAAAAAAAAAAAAAAAAAAAAAAAACAACAACTTTGTAATGGATTTAGAAACAATGTGAAAGGTTTGGTCTGTGACTCCTTGAGACATGGGAGGGTGTGACTAACAGGTAAGGCCAGCCCACCACATCACAATTAGTAGAAAGTGACAAAGGTGACTATGTGTGTGGGGTAAGCACCTGCAGCTGGGTAATGCTGTGTTATGAGCTGTGGGACCACAAAGGGAAACATTTCATAAATCTTGCCTTTAAAAAGTTTAAAATTAAGACAAAACCATCAGCAATTTTGGGAAAGTGGGGAAAATACAAAGAACCATTTGTAATTGTTTTAATGTCAGGTCGATTCAGACCCAGAATAATTTGTTTTTTTAATACTGATTAGGATTAAAACCAAAAAGGAAAAGGGAACTCTATGATGTTCATGAAAGAGTAAATAAACATAGCAGAAAACCAGAAGAAGGAATTTCCCTTGGGATCTGCAGATAACTAATTGCCCATGCGCAAACCATCATATTATACTGTATCTGATCATTTATTAGTCATTAATAAATTGATAACCACATTATTATTTTTCCACAGAACCATTACTCCAAACAGCCACTGATGTTTACAAGAGGCATTATAAGAAATTTCAGCTTTGCTTGCTTGTGCCTTTTAATAAGAACCCTTTACTTTCACTCTACTAGAAAAACCCGGTCTACCTTGGTCCAGTCAGAGAATGCACCTCAGAGAGTTCAGGATAAATGACAAGTTCAAGGCCTTGAAGGAAAACCTGGCATTTCACCGGTGATACTATAGGCTAAATGTCTTAAAAGCAGAAGATCAACAAGCAAATGGGAATTGGACCTCAAGTATGGAAATAATCTGCAAGGGGAAATGACTTGTCCCTGAGTAAGAGCCATGGAAACAGACATGAATACATTTTCTGGCTCAGTTGGGTTGGTCAGATTGGGAGGGAGAATAAAGTCTTAGTTCACCAACATTTTCAAATATCAGAGTTTGACATACACCCACCTTTGCATTTTCCTAAGATACAATTGGTGGCTTTTCCGGGATGCTTGCACTGCTCCATCCTGCCGTCTTTGGTCTTGAGGTTCTCAGGGTTACCCTATCTGCTGGGAAGCAACATGAAAAGGTGCGGTTCTTCCTGGATGGAATTTTCCAGCCTTCTACAATCTGCCCTTTGGAAAGAGCACCACAGAATGTGTAAAGACTGCAAACACATTGACTGCCTGGCTGCAGAAGACAGGCTCTCTCCCAGATGGAGCCCCCTGGCTTCCTCCTGCTTTACCCTGTCAGGGGTGGCAAAGACTACCATCTGCTGCTCCTTTCAAGAAGAGGTTTTGCCGATGCCCATTGGGCTGCAGGGGACCTGTCGCTAAGCTTGCCAATAGGTATCTGGCAACAGCAACTGTTTTCAGCACATCATCATGCTTTTCAGAAATGTTACTATGCCATGTGGTTGCTGGCCGTGATTAATGGTGCTGGGAAAGAAGGATTTCCTTTCTATTTCCACCTGTACAAAAAGAGGTGAGGATTCCCCTGTTGCTATTTCTTATACACATAAGGTAGGAAGAGTTTACAGAAGAAGATGTAAACTTCTGTAAACAGGTATCCCCACCCCAGTGCTAGAAATGGAGCCAACAACTCAGGCATGCTAGGAAAGTGCTCTGCCCAAGGAGCCCCAGTTCCAAGGGACCACTTCTGAACCTTTTGTCTCTGCTCTCGTTTTCTAGTTGCATTTCTTTTTCTCAGTGTCTTAATGGACAGTGAGAAGAGTCACCCAGCATCTAAACATCCTTAGCAGGATGACTAAGCCCAAGGCAAGTGGAAACAAGACCTACCTACTCACTGCAGAACCTGAAGGATCAGGTGGTTTCTTTCACTTCTTCAAAGAAGTTGGAGGAGCTGGGTGTGACTATGTCTGGTTAATTAGACAGGGTGAGGAAGAATGAGCAAAGCAGGTAGACATTCAGAAGTTATTTTCTGCCGTCACACTGGAATGGAAATCCTAGGGGATGCAGCAGGCCATAGAGCCTATCAATGTGACAATGGGTGTCCCTGCATGGGAGGGTAACATCAGCAGTCTAGCCTTTTGGGATACATCTGTGTTCACCATTATTTATGAACCTGAAAGCTGGAGAGTTTTGCTAGTCATTCTGTGAACTGTGCCCTAACCCCAATCCTCCCAGGATCTTGCCAATAAAGTCCTTTCTACTTTTACTAACTAGAGTCAGTTTTGGATGTTGGCAACCAGAAGTCCTGACCTGAGTGCTGATTTACCACATTTAGGAAAACTAACATAATTTCTTCTACCGCTTCTTCCTAGCAGCTGTAATTTCTGGCTTTCCTGTTTCCAAGGCCCCTATGTCGTGTTGCTCCCATGCAACAGATGTTCCCTGAGCAGCATTTGCTTTGAGTGGAAGAGAAACATGAAAAGAAGATGTGGATCCAGTTCTTAAGATGTTTATGAAACGATATGAAAGAGAGAAAGGGTCTCTTGTAAAGATACTGCCTAGTAAAAGGTGATCTGGACCATCAGAAAACTAGGCCCATGTGCAGATAAGAGGAAGTGGTACATCTAGAGGATGTGTTTCTTCCACTGAGTCTGAGCTTTGAAGGCACATAGTGGGAAGCAAACCAACAATGAGGGCACATAGACGTTTTGGCTGGGCCTAAATTTATACCACGGTGAGCCAGGAGGATGTGGGAAACAGAATAGAGCCACACTGGGAAGCTAGGGCCAGATAGGGTTCAAAAGGAGAGGGTAGAGGCTGAGGTAAAGCTAGGTCAAAGACTGCTTGCCATCCATGTGCAAGGTATTGTCAATCCCCCACACTACAAAACAAACAAAACAAACGAAGCCAATGGAGAAGGTAACGTGAAAAGCCAGTATGAATTGACCGAGAAGTTACACAAACAGAAGAGAAGGACTGAGGCAGAGAAATACAGATGAAGTAACCGACAGGGGTGCCGACAGATGCCTCCATTCATCCCTGCATTCATTTAACAACTTTTTATGGTATTGAGGATTAAACCTTGGGTCTTATGCATGCTAGGCCAGCACTCTACCACTTTGCTATATCTTTAGTCCTTACTTATGTTTTATTTTCAGACAGGGCCTCACTAGGTAACCCAAGCTTGCCTTGAATTTGCAGTTTGCCTGCCTCAGCCTCCCAAGAAGCTGGGATTACAGGCCTGTACCACCAAGCCCAGTTCAACTATTCTTTTTTGAAGATAACTGTCTTTCAAATAGCAATATTACTTAAAAACCATTGTCACAAAGCCACACTGAGTAGCTGGACATAAACTTCAAAATGCAGAAAAAAATTCTTTGAGTCCCTCCTAGCATCCTAACTCTGTTCTCACCCCAGGGTCCTAGCATTTGCTAAAACAAAATTTCCATGCTCACGGTGGAACAATATGTCCAAAGGACTCTCTAAATGTAAATGACAAATACCTGAAGTATTGGTAGATTAAAACAGAAGGATATTTATGCTGCTTGATCACGAAGTGGGCAGTTTAGCAAGGGTAGAGGGGCTTCTCAGAAACAAAGCCTTTTATGCTCCTACCATGCACAGCATTGGTGGCTTTTGTTTTCCTATGGCAGGTCAATTCATGTGCATAGGATGGCTTTTGGAACTCTAGAAGTCACATTGAAATCAGGAGTCAAAGGAGAAACAAGAAGAGTTTGTTCTATGAGTGTTTTAATCAGGAAGAAATTTCTAGAAACTTTAGCATTCCTTTTACATCCCATTGACTTGAACATGAGCCAGAGCAGCAAGAATCTCTGCAAAGGGAGAGGATGATGTTGTTGCCATCACTGGCCTGATGTTATCACAATCCATGTCTTGGGACTGGGTGTACAGTCAGATTCTCAGTCTGGTGAATGGCAGTTGGGTAGATGATTAGTTGCATCTGCCACTGTGGGAGTGAAAATATGCACACAAGGTGACTTCAGATTGTGGAAAATGCTAATTAGAAAAATAAAGCAGTAACGAGATAGAGACTAACAGGTGAGTTAATAGAGTGAACAGAGAGTGGGTCTCTGTAGGGCAGTGATATCTTTATTTGAATGCTAAGAGCAAGCTTGGTTAGCGGAAATGCCAGGGCAGCTGAACAGAATGAGAGGGGCAAATGGTAGGACATGTTGTCAAAGATGAAGGTGGGGCTATATACAACGAACCTTCAGTACCCACTGGACTCCTGAGGATACCAAAATCAATAGCTGCTCAAGTCCCTTGCATAAAATGACTTAGTATTGGCATAGAAGTCAAGAATATCCTCTTGTATACTCATAAATTTTAAATAATCTCTACTTTACTACAGTACCTCATACAATGCAATGCTATGTAAATCATTGTTATTCTGTATAGTTTCAGAAATAATGACAAGATAAAAATAGTCTGTACATGTTCAGTACAGATGTCAAGGTGTTTCCAAATATCTTCAGTCTATGGTGACTTGAATGCATGGATGTTGAGCCTGTGGATACAGAGGGC